CCAGCGGGTAATTCACCAGACCCACGGTGGCCCCAGCATCAAGGTCAATTCCATCAGCTTTTACAATCTTGCAGCAAAGATACAGAGTGTGTTGTTCAAATCCATATAATCTTTGCCATTCACCGTGATGAAAGGTCAAGAGGGGTGGACTCAGTAATAGCTGATAGTGGCGGGATCTCAACATACAGGCTTTACTCAATGCTGGTCTGCGTAGGGGCTATTTGAAACAAATCCAATTTGGATTTGGTGCATTCTTCAGACCTGCAGTGAACAAAGGCCATGGCGATTAAAATATATTTCTTTTTCCTCCAAGAGAGTGCCCCTTCTTTCTCCCAGGCTGCTTCTCCGTCTTTCATGTATGACTGCCTCATTGACTTACCCTCTTCTTTTTAAGGGGTTGGGGAGGTCCTTTACATTGGGAGCATGGTACGTCTCTCTCTTAAGGCTCCGTCTTTGAATCCACATAAATCCAGACCCCTCCTGCTTCGCCAGTTTGCCCACCTTATCCAGAACAGCTTGGGAGACGTGACCAATCACATCTTTGTCTATGTTTTGAGCCATGTTTTTAGCATGCGACTTAATAATCTCCAGACCCCTTCTCAAAAGTGGAGCAACTTTTCTAAACAGACTGCAAAATATGTCCCCCTCGCCAGCCCCATACATCATGAGCACACCCTGATATGCAGTAAGACCATACCCGGCTTGGGCTTTATAATAATTTCTGTACAAGTTAGGGTCCCCATCATTTTTTACCATCATCATCGTGGTTTACTTATTGTAAAATCCCAAGGTCTTCTCGGGTCATAGGTGAAACTTAACAATCGCTTTACCAAAGCGAAATAAGACTTGTTTGTTCTGATCCATCTTTATTTCAATGCTGATTGTGTCTATGTGATGCTGACTCACAGGGACATAATGCGGCTTGTCATACATGATGGTGACAAACGTGTTGTTGCTTCCACAGACAAGGACTCAGCATAATAAGGAAACTGAATAGTTCTGCAACGTTCATGTAGAGATACAGTGAATTGAATCCTCTGGTAATATTAGCCGTAAAGGGTTTTTTTTAACAGTGGACATGGACAGCAATCCCAAAATACAGGCTAGCTCACCACCCGTAGAAAAAGCATAAGAGCTATTGCTAGCCTTAAGTCTCAATTTTCTGCTCACTTGATCATAGATCATAATTAATTCAGGTGGAGTAGGGTGGCTGGAAATAATATGGTACATAAGATCCAGCAACTCTGTAATGGATAAATAATACGCCTGCCACAGGACATATCCCCATTTTTTAGTCTGAGAAACTATTTTGAAAGGAGCGTCTTCATTAATGTTGTTCCAGCTGTGCAGGTATTGTATTTCTGCTAACCCTATCTCCCAGTTCCCCAGGAGATCCAGAGGTTTAAGCAGAGGTTGTATGGTAAAGTTTGAGCTGGTTCTCTGCACAAAATCCCTGGTGCAGTTGTTGCTGGGCAAAGAGATGTAAAAGCTGCCGTCACTCATCTCACCCTTCTGGCAGAGGTAATGGTTTTTCTTTTACCTCTATATGTTATAAATGTGGGAGGCTTCCACCCAGCTATTAAATTTAGCTGGGCACCCCAACCATTTCACCAGCAACTGCTTCTTTCTCTCCTTTCCTTTTGTTGCTAGAACTTTTTCAATCCTGTAAACTTTGTCCTGTTTGGGGTTCACTTTTTGTAGTTCTTCAGGATAAGAAGACCCCGTGACAGTTTTGTTTTCATAATCTTTTAGGCACTATACAGGTGTCTGCATGTGCCTAATGACTTCATCTGTTCTGAAAATCTCATTGGTGAATGATTGTTCTTAACCTTTTTCAAATCTCCCTTTAGTCTTAGACACCCTCACATGGTCTCCTTTTCTGAACAGGGACAATGCTTCTTTTATTTTAAAATAGCCCCCATACATGGCTTTCCACACCTGTGGAGAGTCTAAGAAGTTCACATCAACAGGCCCGGCACAGATAGTTCTGTGAAAGCTGTGGTTATAGCTCTTTATAAACTCTGGTAACACATCAGTGTAGCGACAGGTAGTGTGGGCTGTAAAATACTGTCACATTATTTATTTTAATGTTCTGTTAAGCTGTTCTACCACCACCGCTTTCACTTCACTATTCGTCACAAAATGCTGAATATTATACTGCTTTAACAGTTTGCTTAAAGGCTTATTTAAAAATTCTTTCCCCCCCATCGGTCTGTAATGTTTGAGGTATGAGACCCTCTGTAAAAATGGTTTTAAAGGCCTGAGATATTTCACCACCTGACTTGTCTTTTAGACCCACAGCCCAGGCATGCTTTGATAATATGTCTATCACTGTTAAGATGTACTTAACCCCACAATTGTGTTTGGAAAACTGCTGCATATCCACCAAATCTGCCTGACATTGGGCATCCACATCTGAAACAACACTCTTGTTTCTTTTAAAATGTCTTCTCACCAGCTTGTGTAGGGTGTAAGCGTCCTGATCTGAAAGCCAGGTGGCCACCCGGTTTCTGTTCACAACCTTATTCTGCCTTTTGGCCGCTTCCAAAAGTGAGTTCACCCCACCAAAACTCCTGGCTTCTCCGGGAGCATAATAAATTTCCTTTAACACAGCCTCCTGGGTAGGCAAGGCTGGTAACTGCAGTGCCCCTCTCACTAACACCTGTATGGTGCATTCAAGTGCCTGAGAACAAATTTAAACCATGGTACAACAAGGTTTATTAATCAGGTAATGAAATACAACATTAACAGTGGTCTTCAGCCTTGTCTTGAGCAGTTGTTCAAATCTACATCATGCAAAAAAACCTTTTCTGAACGGGTGCACTACTTTTTTTATTTGAAAATAGTCCTCTGTACAGCCCTTCATGGTGACTTCCGCAGGCTTGAAGCCCTGCTCAGCGACCTCCAGGGGCTCATAGCCCTGCTCAGTGACCTCCACAGGATCAAAGCCTTGGTTGGTGGCTGTTGCCTTTGGACAAAACTGTTACATCAGTCTCCAGTCTTGTCTTGAACGGCTCTCTCTTTCGCACACGAACAAAAACAGTTCGTGCAAAACACCTTAATTTTTGGAGGGGTGCTGATATACAGGTTTTGAAAAATCTCTATAAATGTGTCATCTACCTGTAAAAAGATTGCAATTAGCACAGATCCCAGACAGTTAGAAGAAAAAAACATCCCCACAAAAAATAATCACAATTAGTTACCTCAGCAGAGCTCCTTGGGACAGGATTGTCCAACACCTCCACACTCCACAGGCAGGTCTGACGTGGGTTGTCCAGGGTCTGTCACGGTACCTGACCCTGTTTTGGGAGCCTGGGAATCTGTCTCACTCCCAAATCTCACTCACATCTGCCCCTGTCTGCTTTAGAGCAGTCTCAGACAAACAGAGGGCCCATTTGGAAAGCAGATAGACAGGATGGGTTTGCAGGCTATACCTGACCCCTGTACTCATTCTGGTTGGTTCAGCACTGTATTTGGGGAGGTCCGAGGCACCTGATACCCCTGCCAATTGGTTGGGGGTAGTGGGGTGGGTTGATAGAGGGGCCACAAGCTCCCTGCTATCAGATAGACCATGCCTGTGCCTTGTGCTTTAGTGCGATGCTATGCAGCATAAGGGGTGGGAGGGGTAGGGTTTGGGGCCTGTTGGGCAACCATGGGCAACTGGTGCCTCTTGAGCCTGGGGGAGCAGCTGCAGAAGCTGGTGGCAGAGCTGGCCAGCACCCACAGAAACCACCAGTGGTGTTGGCAGTGGGGACAGGCCTGGTCATCAACCCTTCTGAAGTCACGCAGCATGGGATAGCATGGGGAATTCTGGAGCCAATATAGCGGTCCAGGGGCCGATAGGTCGAGACTATACCATGTGGTCTACGGTGGGTCTTCAGCATGAGGGGCAGGCTTTGGAGTCTGAATAGGTGGCCCTTCTGATGTCAGGGACCATGTGATGGTGGTGTCGTGCACCATATGATGGTGCCAGCACGAGGTTTTTGATGTCATGCATCATGTGACTGGGGACAGAGGGTGGGTTTCTGATATCACACATCATATGACCAGGGACTAGGGCAGGGTTTCTGATGTCACACACCATATAAAGGGAAAGGGAGGCAGGGTTTGTGACATCACACACCATATACGTGGGAAAGGGGTGGGGCACCTGCCAAATTAACAAACTGGTGTCCCTATATACTACTGTCAAGCTTTTCACCATGGGGTTATTGCTGCAAATCTAGTATAGCAAGATAGCAGTAAAAATTTGTTTCCACCTGGTGACAGTTTAGAGAGACTCAAGAGTTTGAGTGTCTCAGTCCCACTCCCACTAAGCATCCTTAGTGTCTTGTGCTGCTCCAACTGTAAACCACCCAGACAGGCTCCAGAAGGGAGGCCAGTGGTGTCTGTGGCTGATTCTTTCACATCTAGGATGATGTCCAGCTCTCAGAGTTCCCCTCAGTCTCTATTCAGAGATGCAGCAGCAACACTACTCCAATCACTGGGGTGCTCTTTCCTCATCACTGACCTATCTGATCAAGGGTGGGTTTTCAAAAGCATGCAATACAGTCCAAATGCAGCTACTGACAGAATTAACCAAATAATCCACATCGGGTCCAAAGAGGGTGGTTGGGACACTGTGGAAAATCCCACACCTCTCCCAAAGCCACAGAGTGAAACTCTTGAGCCCTCTACGGCCTGGCACTACCCTTCAGTGATTGTCCAACCAAGCAGAATGGAAGCTGCATAGTACTGATTACCATCACTTATTTGTTAACTATTCATGCAAGAACCACAAAGCACTTTACCAAGGTGGGTATTTATTATCCCCATTTTATAGCAAGAAGGGACAATTGAAGCAGAAAGTCAGTCACTCTGGAGGTACCAAACATCAGGCATCTCTACAGAAGCAGCACTTCTGTCAAGAACACAGGCCCTTCCCTCCTTCCCTCCTCAGCTATTCCAAGTTGCTGGAATATTGGAAGCTCTGGGAGTCCCTGGTCTCTCTCATCACTCACGTCTCCATTTCCACATCCAGCTCCTTCTCCAACCTCTGGGTCAGCTTGCAGGCCACCTGGTCCTTCCAGCTTCCCTGGATAGCCCACAGCTCACTGTCCTTGCACAACTGCTTCTCACCCATAGCCTCCTTTAGCTCACTGTGCTGCAGGGTGGCAATTTCCTGGATGTGCTCCTGCAGGACAAGATGAGCAAGCAGACTGCTCAGCTCAACCAACCACAGGATTTACATACCACACATATACCCCAGTGGCCAGCAGTGTATGGACCCGAATCAAAAGTTCCTCAAAACCTGGGGAGGGCAGGTCAGATTCAGGCTCATCTCTTGGATTCAGGGGAGGAAAGCGTGGAACATGGGTTGGAAGACAGGATCCTTGACATCTCAGGGAAGTATAAACTACCTCCTCCCTCTGCCCCTGAATGGGAACCTAAGTAGCTCACCCCAGACCTTCTGCAGAGACCTTCTTGGCCATACAGAGCCCCAGAACATGTGATTTTAAGGGTGGGGAAATGCAACCTGCTAGGCACCTAGACACATTGCTACAGAGGTCCTGTAGAGGGGCAGAAGGGGGATGGCTCACCTCAGTGTTAGCATCTCTTGGCGGACAGTAGTGCCAAGAAGAGTTCCTGCTCGGCTCTAGAGAGAACCCTGACTGAAGAGTAATGGATAGGACTCAGTTGCATGGGACAGGGTCAAAGAGCAGAAAAGCCCCACCTATGCAGGACCACTCCATGGTCATGAAGAGACTTACCTGGATCAGCTGCTCCTTCAGGGCCTCCAGAGCTTCCTCCTTTTCTAAATGAAGCTGCTCCTGCTGCTGCCTCAGCTCCCATTTCTGCAGATACAGAGGGCTCTCACTGCCATCAGGGAAAGTTAAACAGCATCCCTGGTGTTTGTCTGCACTGATGTAGCACTGGTGGGCAGTGTCTTGGCAACAAGGGCAGCCACTAATGGCTTTTCCCCTTCCTCTCCCTTCCCTATGGGCATCTATCTGGCTGGCACTAGAAAACCTCAGGGAGCATGTTTAGTTTCTCTTTGCTTGCTCACTCTATTCAGAGGTTGATCCTTGAAAGACACTAGAGGCTAGTGACCTGATTTGGTCCATTTTGTATCAGGCATTTCAGGAGCGGGCAGTAGAACCAAGATGAATCAGTGTGATCAACACAGAAGGGAAACGTAGCACTGAAGGCATTGTCCAGTGGCCCATTCAATTCCATAGAGAAATCTGTGCCTGGATTTAAGCGATATCACTGTCATGTTCCCAAGTTACCCTCACCATGATGCTATACCAAGGAGCACAACCTTATGACAGTTTGTCAGAGATGGCAAGCTTGCAGAAAAGCCCAAGAATTGCTCTTGGTCCTACAGGAATTGTTAGATTTCCCTGTATGACTGTTTTTCTATCTATGCCTTAGCGCCCCAACCAAGACAGTGGCCATGTTGTGCTCTGTGCTGTACATAGGAATGAGAAAGAGTCTGTTCTTTGAAGACCAGGCAGTCTAAACAAACAGGGCAGCCAAAGGATTTGTTACCCATGGGCCAGGTGTAGGGTGCACACAGACCCATATCTCAGGCAGTGGCCAGTCCCCAATGCTTCAGAAAAAGGAAAAGGAAAAGGCCACAGTGCTTTTGGCCAATTGTGCTGCAAAGAGAGGATGATTCCCCACTGCCTCCTGTAATGCACAGCATCTGCCTTAAGGCAAAGAAAGTTAGGACCCTGATCCTGGTCAGAAAAACAGCAAAGTTAATACTGTACAGAAAACCACATAGCCCATTTTAAGGATATGTCTATGTAGTGAATGAGTTCTTCAAGTAACAATAATTTCCTCTGTACGCCTATTAACTTGCATTACCTTTTCCATCTGGACCTGAAGGATGGTGTGTTTCTGAGCCTCTATCTCTTGCTGCAAGTCCCTGAGGTAGTGCTGAATTTCTTCCCTCAGTCCACCGAGGATCTGAAGGGCATGGCCGGGAGAGAGGTAAGATGGGCTCCTGGATAAAATAAACAGAAGTTTGGGAAGAGAACCAGGAATGAGGGTGTACCCCGCACGGGTCACTCCTTGTAACAGTAGGTCTGCTAGGACTGAGCTTGGGTTGCCTGGACTAGAAAGAAAGAGCTACCACTGTTTTGAACTAAGGGGCTCAAAGCAGACAATAGAGGGTGACTGAGCACCACATTGCTAGCAGGGTCTATACTTGAAGCACTCATCCTCTGTTCTTTCCAGGGAACGTTCTCTTGGGGACAGCACTGTTGGAGATCTATGAGATCTGATCCATGTTTTATAATGAACTTCCTACATAACTAAAAGCTGCTTCCTCAAGTAGTAACACCAAAGCATAGACTGAAGGGCCTGGCAGTGTTGTTTCTGTCCCAGTTGTGGCAGCATTACTCTCAACCCATCATTCCTGTGAACCTTTTCCTAGGGTTCCAGCCACAAGAGTAAAGAGCCCTTTAGCAACCTCTTGCCTCCCCTGATCACAGGAAATGCCACCAGTTCTCCCCCAAGGATTCCACCCTGCAGCAATAGGGATACATGAATCAAGCTCTCACACAGTCTTTCCAGATACAGAGAGTAAAATTCAGCCCTGAGCTGGGAGTCAAGGGCAGCCCAAGGCCTAGGTAACACCTATGCCCCACTGGCCATAAGCAGGATCTGTGTGCTGCCTAGACCTTTGGCTGGCCTCAGATTTACCTATGCATAGCAAAACAAATGCAACTGAATCTGCCTGGCTATTGGTCAGTGCAGGGTGAAGGCAGGGTAGGCTTGCACTTAAACTAACAAAAGTATATCTATCTATCTATCTATCTATCTAATCACAAGCTTTCATGGGTTGATGCTCATTCCATCAGATGCTGTGGCTGTGAAGGGTGAGAAAACAAGCAGTTTGGGCCTCCAGAGACAGAAACCAGGGGGTTAAAGGGCCTTACCTATGTGCCATCCAGGAAGCGCTCTGTCCCCTGGCTCTCTCAGGCAGCAAGTCCTGGAGGTGCTGGCACACCAAGCCAATCTCCCTGGCCACTGAGTGCTCAGCCCACTCAGCACTGGACAGCGCCTCCTGCTCCCAGAAGGATGCTTCACTCTGCTTGGCTTGCAAGAGGCACTGCTTCTCCTCTAGTTGCCGCAGCCTTGCTCTCAGTTGGTCACGCTCCTGTATTGTCTCCTAGGGTCACAACCACAAGAAAGAGCACATTGGCAAACACAGTAGCGATGCATAGGCGGTACATGGGGGATGCATGTGCACCCCCTGAGCATGCTGGTGCACCCCCTGTCAGGCTGCGCTCCCTGTTTAGGTGATGGGCAGAGGGACAGCAGGAGCACTGGGTTCCCCACCCCCTGTAAACACCAGCCAGGTAGTGGGGCTGCCACCAAAAGTGGCCACGCCGCTTCTGGAAGTGGCACGGCTGTTTTTTTGGTGAGAGGGATTGGCTGCCAGGGGACCCCCCCCCCCCCAGTCAGTGCAATTAGCTGCTGGGGGACCCCCCCCAGGTTGCTGCCTGGTGTCAGGGGGGTATGTGCCCCCTCCCCGCCCCCGACACAAGAGGTACCAGTCGCCCATGAGCAAACACTTGCTCTTCCTGGGCAGCAGGCTCTGAGCAGTGCAGGGCAGAACATCTGGATTGCTACTGCTTGAGGTGAATGTCTGTATCCCTTCCATTGGGAGGGCCAAGAAAATACCCTGCTCAGCAAAGCTCATTTTTTCAGCAAAGCCCAGTTTGCCAGTGTGACCAGGGAAATCAGTCAGATGCCAGCAGCTTCCCTCCTGGCCAGCAGTGTTATCAGGGCTCTCATGACAGGGTCTGCCCTGTCACTGTGCCTCTGAATTCATCATACTCACTCCCAGTGATAGGCATGTGAGACCAAAGCATTTCCCCTGCCTCCTTAGATAGCTCCTATATCTGTCTTCCCACCTGCTCCAGTTCCTCCCGAAGTTTCTGTAATGCTTCCATTTTCTCCTCCTGAAGCAAAGTCTGCAAGTCTTCTAGGGCCACCTGCTTCTCTTGCTTGAGTGAGCAGGTAAGGAGTTCCAGGTCTTGGATTTGCTGCAGTACAAGCCATTAGAAACAAAGCATCACTCTAGCCCAGCCTAGCCATGGCCCTGACATCATGGGCCATCTTCAAGCCAACTTTCATGCTCAGGGCAGAATAAGAACTCTCTATCCTGAAGAAAGTCCTTTACAATGCACTGCCTCAGCCCTCAGTCACATGGGAAGGCTGAAAAGAGTGCCTGACATGGCTACTGCCCATTGCTTAGTACAGACTCTAGATCAGGGGTGGGCAAAATACAGCCAGCGGGCTGGATCTGGCCCACAGAGGAGCTTTGTCTGGTGGCACCTGGCCATGGCACATCCTGCTGCCCTCTGGGGCTGGGGCAGCTCCATGGCTGGACTGCCTTTCTAGGAAGTCCGGGCAGTGGCAGCTCTTTCTGGCTGCCACTGAAAAGCAGCTCTTCTCCTTTACCACTGCCAGGAAGTTCTTGCTGTAGCTGCCTGGAGTCCGCACCATGCTGGGCTGTCCTGTATCTCCGTCACTGCCACCTCTGGGCTGCCCTGCAGCTGCTCTGCACTGTCACCACTGCCCCAGTGGGCAGCCCAGAGGCAGCAGTGACAGAGACGCAGGTGGCACGGGCTCCAGATGGCTGCAGCGACAACTGTCCAGCAGTGGCGAGGTGGGGAGCTGCTTTTCCCCCATGCCAAGCAACAGTTTTTCTGCTCGGCACCATCACTGCTGCTACTGCTCAGCCTGAACAGACAAGTCCAGAGCAGGCATGGGGCATGCTGAGTCAGGGCTGTGTGCACTGGTCCCCATTGGTACCAGAGGCTGGGTCTAGTGATGCTGGCAGCCAGAAGGAGCTGCCACTGCCCAGGCTGCCTAGAAAGGCAGTTCAGCTGCGGAGCTGCCCCAGCCCTGCTGCATGCCCAGGGGCGGCAGGACATGCCACAGCTGGTTGGTGAGGACTGGGTGCAGGTTGTGCTGGGGCTACACACGGTTGGCGGTGGCGAGCAGGTGCCACAGGGTGCGCCGGCTCCAAGCTGTTGCAGGGCAGGGACAGGTGCTGACTGGCTCAGGGGGGCACGTGCAGGGGGGCTACCATGCACACCCCACCATACCCACAGCCACACCCTCTATCCCACACAATCACACACCCCACAAACACCGAACCCACCCACACCCTCCACAGTCACATGCGCGTGCCTCTGGAGGGAGCCATGTAACCTGCTACCCACATACATCCCACAGCACACGTAGACTCACACGTATACCCCCAGGGGCTGCTGGGAAATGGAGTCCGCTACAGGCCCGACCCAGCCCCACAGGCTGGACTTTGCCTGCCCCTGCACTAGGCTATTGGGTCAAAAGGTGAGAGGGCCCTTCTCCTTTCCTGGGGTCTCACACATGTTAGTCACAGGTTCTACATAGCTAAACTCTGGGGACTTATGCACAGATCTAGGCCATCCTGTTTTGCTGCGCCGCTGCCCAGAACACAGCCCTGCTGAGCACAATCAGTGGGCACATGCAGAGCTGAATCTCATGCTGTGTGCATGTGTTAAGAACTGCAGTTGTAGTTATGCAGCTGTGTGTACGCCATTCAGGCATGTGAAGTGAACTAGGATTTAGGCCTTAGTCTCTCTATGCCTCCATTTTCCATCTGTAAAATGGGGATAATAACCCAGCCTTATCTTACAGCAGTGTTGTGAGCTAAGTACATTGAAGACTGTGAGGTGCTCAGATATTTCAGTAAGAAGCTATTTAACAACCTAAGATAGGGAGGACAGAGAGAGGCAATCATTTGCCAAAGCCACAAAGCAAGTCATTGCTTAAACTGGAATGAGACCCAAGAGCTCTAACTTAATTTCTACAGATGATAGAGAATGCTCCCTCCAGCCAGATTTTGTGCTCGTAGATGGTTTGTGGAAACACCAACCTTCTGGAGCTCCAGGATCCTAGTCTGCAATGCTGATCCCTTCCTCCTCTCTTTCTCCAGGGCCTTCTGGAGGTCAGCTTGCACTCTGTGGCTCTGCTCCTCCAGTGTTTCACATTGCATCCGGAGTGCTTCCTTTTCCTTGGCTTCCCAGTTACTTTGCCCTTGAAGCAGGGCATTCTGAACCTGGGATCATACAGAACCACATGAGTGTAAACACTACCCTACCCCTAGGAAGAACAGGTAATGAGAAATGAACACATCCATAATACACTGAACTGCTGAGCTGAAAAGCTACCCACAGGAAGTTCCCAAAAATACTGGTGAGCAGCATGGATGTATAAAATACTGGAGCTGGATAGGGCAGTCTTCCGCTGATATAGCCTCCATGCTATATGGAGCCTATGGCTATATCATGGGAATGATACTGGAGTCTGACCCCAAGAAAGAAGAAGAGCATCCCCTGGATCAATATGCCCCCTTCATCCATCAGCCTTTCTCCCAAGCCTCTCCACAAGAGGCCAGCCAGCAAAGATATGATTCCAAGGTTGATTGTGGGACAGCGGTGATTTCTACAGCATACCCCCTACCTCCTCCCCTTGACAACAGCAGGTCCCTGCAGCCCTGGAGCCACCTCATACTGGCTTTCAAGCTTTATTGTCTGAGAGTGGGATAGAAATTACTGCCCTTGTGGGAAAGGCTTTGTACCACACAGCCAGTATTCTGAGCCATCCACTCCCCCTGAAGGTAAGAGGATTGACTGTACCATCTCCTTGGCCTCTGCCCTCAACTCTCTGAGTAGTTGCTGGGTATGTTCCTTCTGCATCCTCATGGCTTCTTGCTGTTGGCGAAGTTTTGCATCTTGGGCCTGGGTAGAACAGTAAAGAGCTGAACAAGCTGCCTCACTAGTCCTTGTCCTCAGGTTTCAATCATTCTGGGCTGGATGGATCTGAGGGCTGTGTGCACTCCTAGTACTGTGCCCCACAGGAGCTCTGGATGGTGTGACACCAGGGTCACAGCATTCTTGTGTCAGTGCAGTTCCCTACTCAGGCTTGTGCCTCAGTGATACCAGCAGGCCTCTAGCCTCCATGAAGCCCTGGACCATTGCCAGGTCCACCAGTGCTTCATGGCAACCTCCAGAACACCACAAAACAGCTTGGTTTCCCACTTCCATCCCCGATTAGGAAAGGAAATACTGTTAATTGAATATCCACCTGGTCTGGCCACTGCATTTCTGTTTCAGATTCTGTTATTACAGACAGCTCACTATGAATTAAGTACATAGGGGTTAAAATACCTTCTTTAAATACATAGGGGGTAAAAAGAAGGTACCGAGTAATGTGGGGCCTCTGCAAGGCACGGTAGGAAATCTGGTCATTGCTCCAGATGACAAAGCTAACCTATTTAACAATTTCTTTGCCTCCATTTTTCTGAGCAGGGACCAGGTCACCCCCCGCCCCCTGCCCCACTGGGACCACCATAGGCCCCAGGGGAGGCACACCCAGGCCTAGGGTCAGTGAGGATCTAGTCAGGGAACTTCTGGAGGGATTGGATGTATTTAAATCAGCTGATCCTGATGATCTCCACCCCAGAGCGCTGAGGGAATTAGCAGAGGTCATTGTGAGACCTCTGGCACAGCTTTACGAGCACTCATGGTGCTCTGGTGTGGTGCCAGAGGACTGGAAAAGTGCCAGTGTGGTTCCCATTTTCAAAAAAGGGAGAAAGGAGGACCCAGGAAACTATAGGCCAGTTAGTCTTACCTCAATCCTGGGTAAGCTTTTTGAGAGAATTATCCTGGTGCATGTCCACGAGGGTCCAGCAGGGGAGATTATGCTTAGGGGCAACCAACATGGGTTCATTAGAGGTAGGTCCTGTCAGACCAACCTAGTGGCCTTCTATGACTAGGTTCACAAAATCCTTAGACACAGGTGTAGCAGTGGACATAGTATTTCTGAACTGTAGGAAGGCGTTCGACACTGTCTCTCACCCCATTCTCATTAAAAAATTAGGGGACTGTGGGGTTGACACTCGTTGACACCTACACAGTCAATTGGGTCACTAATTGGTGGAGGGTCGCACCCAGAGAGTGGTGGTGGACAGGTCTTATTCGACCTGCAGGGATGTGGACAGTGGGGTTCCGCAGGGCTTGGTCCTCGGGCCTGCGCTGTTCAACATCTTCATCAGGGACTTGGATGAAGGGGTGAAAAGCACCCTGCTCAAATTCACAGATGACACTAAGTTGTGGGGAGAAGTGGGCACACTAGAAAGGAAGAATAGGCTATAATTGAACCTAGACAGGCTACAGGGGTGGGCAGATGAGAACAGGATGGGTTTCAACACTGACAAGTGCAAGGTACTGCACCTGGGGGGGGAAGAACCAGCAGCATACCTACAGGTTGGGGAACTCCTTCTTGTCAGAGCAGAGGCAGAAAAGGATCTTGGGGTCATTATTGATGCCAAAATGAACACGGGCCAACAGTGTGGGGACACGGTCAGGAAGGCCAACTGTACCTTGTCATGCATCCACAGATGCATCTCGAGCAGGTCTAAGGAAGTGATCCTCCCCCTCTATTTAGTCAGGCTGCAGTTGGAGTACTGCTTCCAGTTCTGGGCGCCGCACTTCAGGAGGGATGTGGACAGCATGGAGAGGGTCCAGAGAAGGGCCACCCGCATGATCGGGGGTCAGCAGGGCAGGCCCTACGAGGAGAGGCTGAGGGACCTGAACCTGTTCAGCCTCCACCAGAGAAGGCTGGGGGGGATCTACTGGCCATTTACAAACTAGTCAGGGGGGACCAGCAGGCATTGGGGGAGTCCCTGCTCCCCCGAGCGCTACCAGGAGTGACTAGAAATAACGGTCACAAGCTGGCAGAGGGTAGATTCAGACTAGACATCAGGAGGCGCTACTTCACTGTCAGGGCGGCTAGGATCTGGAACCAACTTCCAAGAGAATTGGTGCTGGCTCCTACCCTGGGGGTCTTTAAAAGGAGGCTGGATGAACACCTTGCTGGGGTCATTTGACCCCAGTACTCTTTCCTGCCATGGCAGGGGGTCGGGCTTGATGATCTACTCAGGTCCCTTCTGACCCTACAAACTATGAAACTATGAAGGCTCTCACCCCACAGCTCAGGCATCCCAGCCTTCCAAGTCCTAGGAGCAGGCAGTGAGAGGGAACTGCTGTCTCAGAGATAGAAATGAGACTGAGCAGCAGGGAAGATGAGTTCTCTCTGCCTCAGACTCTCTGTCTACCCTTGGGCCTGTCCTTTTCTGCTTTCCATGCCTCAGGTTTCCCATCTGTAACCTCATGGTATGGTAAAATGAAACACTTCATCTGCCTCTATCTGTAAAGAAAATTAAGGTCACCAGAAGGAAGATGCCAGACATATTCTTATACTGGCCCTTACAAAGAACTCCGGTCCACACATGGGTGACACCTCCATCTATTGCCCAGGGAAACGATGCTATATGGTGAGCATAGCAGTCACGTCACCAAGTCAAGGATGTGAGGCAACTGGAGTGCATGCGTCAAGGCTTTCCTGCCAATAGATGCAGTGGTACTGGGGACATGGCCCCTTCTCCTGCTCTGTTCTGAGATAAGACACCCCTGATTGTTCGTAGTTGACTCACTGCCCTGTGTCAAACAGGGGGCCAGAAAAGGTGGCCATAATGGTTCTTTTTGTCCTTGAAACCTGCACACGACACACATCCCACTGAGACCTACCTTACCTTGTCTTGTACCATGACCCATCCACCCCCTCTGTCCCAATCTGAGGGGCATAGTTCACCTCCATAATCCTGGTGAGGTTCTCCACTTTCTTCTGGAAGGAAGAGGATTGGTCCTGTAAGGCTGTATCCTTCACCTGTTCCAGAGTCTCTGCAAACTGAGCAGATAAGAATGAGAATGGGGAGTGTCACTTCTTAATCCCAGACTGAGCTCATCTGCCCAGCTGGAACATACCCATCCCCACACAGTGGGCACATCTACATGAGACACTACTGCACAGTGGCTACTGCACATTTATTTAGTACTTGTACAATCAAATACTAAATAACTGCACACTAACCAGAGTTATTGTGCAGTAGCATTTGCAAACACCTTTTAAGTGCTGCTATTGCACAGTAGCCTAATAACACTGTGCAGTGGCATATTAGCACCGTTGGTGCTATGCGCTACTGCACAATATTATTTGGCTACTGCAGTTAGCATCTCATGTAGATGCACCCACTGAGATGTAGGATGGGCCTGCCTGAGAAGGGGATGCTACTGGTGGATGCACTTTTGTTGCTGGTTTCTCATGCAGCCACCTCCTTCCAGTATTTCGCAGCTGCATTATACAGAAAAAGCAGGATCACTGGAGGACATCATGGGGCCCACTCACCATACCACCTCTGTTTCTGGAACAGCACATCCTGCATCTCTGCAGGGGATGGACAAAATGACCCTTGAGGTCACTGCCCATCCTGTGATTCTATGATTTACTGCAACCCTCGAGATTCCACAGGAACTGAAGATGCCAAGATGCATCTATGCAGAACAAACCTCTTGGAGCTCCTGCTGCTTCTGGTGCTGTAGATCCTCTCTCTGCTGAGCCAGTGCCAGCTCCTATAAGCATAGGAAATAGCATCCTTGTCATCTAGCTCAGCCCCAAACCCAAAGAGAACTCCCTAAGGTCCCTTCTGCTGCCTGTGTCATTGTTTTGCAGGCTTCAAGAGCTAGGAACTGCACAGTGGCAGATTTTCCATCAAAGCCTGCCTGCATATGCTGCAGCTGGGAGTAGCTGGACTGAATATAGGATGTGAACACATCCAGGACACCCAGGACAGTCCCTCTCCCATGTAGCTGGAGCAGGTCTGCAGCTTTTAATAAGTATAGTTAAACTAAACAGAGGGAAAAAGAACATCAGAAAAGGAAGGACCCCCCTACCTCCCCGCTCACTAAGGAAAGCCCCTGCCTTTCTGTTGGCTCAGGCTGGGCTGCTTAGAGCTGGTACCTTTTCTTTGTGCACCTCTTCCAGCTGCCTTTCATGTTCTTCCTTTAGGCTTTCCAGAGCAGATTTCTGTGACTCCTTCTCCAAAGTCAGGGCAGAGACAGCCTCTTGCAACTGCTGCAGTTCCAGGTTCTTCTCGAACAGGATCTTCTCTAGAGCAGAGCTCTTCACCGCCTGCTCCACTACCTGTGGTTGGCTCTGCCTGCTCAGGGACTGGTTCTGTTCACTCAGGCCAGCCTCCTGCTTCTGGAACAGAGAGTTGTGTCACCATCACAAACTCTCTCCTTTCCCCTCACTCCAATGAGGCATAGGAGTGACTGGTGTCTCATTGAAAGCTATAGAACCATTCAAGTAAGGGTTGAAAAGACCCAGCATGGCTGAAGTCAGATCCTCCAGATACCAGAGCAGGACTGTACCCTGTTCCCAAGCTGAGCACCAGCTCGTGACACATGCCACTTCTTAATCACAGACTGAGCTCACCTGTCCAGCTGGAATAGAGACCTATCCCCAGGGAGGAACTGACATGCATGATAGGTTTGCCTGAGAAGGGGGATGCTACTGGGGGATGTACCATTGGAGGTCCAGTTGGTCACATAGCATTGCCTCCTCCTTCTCAAGTCCAGCTGCCTTTACAGGTGTCTGGGCCCCTCTCTGCAAGGGAGGGAGCCTGTAAAAGTATCATAGAATCATAGAAATTAAGGGCTGGAAGGGACCTTGAAAGATCATTAAATCCAACCCCCTTGCTCTGGGCAAGAATACTGCTGAGATCAAATGATCCCAGCAAAGTGTCTTTTCAGTCTCCTCTTGAAGACTTCCAAGGTTGGGGACTGCACCACCTCCTTGGGAAGTCTATTCCAGATTCTGGTCACCCTTACCATAAAGTTCTTCCTGAAACCATCCTCTTAACAGTTTATGGCCATTGCTCCTTGTCCTCCCCTGGGGTGCCCTAGTGAACAGTTTTTTCCCCAGCTCTTGCATACTTATAGACGGCCACCAAGTTCCCCATAGTCTTCTCTTCCCCAGACTGAACATTCCCAGATCCCTTAGTCGTTCCTCATAAGGTCTGTCCTCCAGGCCCTTAATCATTCTTGTGGCCTTTCTCTGGACCCTTTCAAGATTCTCCACATCTTTTTTTAAGTGCAGCACCCAGAACTGGACACAGTACTCCAGCTAGGGTCTCACTAGCGCCGAGTAGAGAGGAAGTATCACTTCCTTAGCCCCGATCACGATGCATCAGCTAATGCATCCCAGTATGCTGTTAGCTCTGTTGACTACAGTGTTGCACTGGCAGCTCATATTCATCCTGTGATCAAACATAACCCCTCCCTTTCAGCTATCATGCTAGCCAGGACATCTCCTCTTAACCCATATTCATGTCACTGGTTACTTCTCCCCAGATGAAGCACTCTGCATTTATCATTATTGAGCTGCATCTAGTTAGCAGTAGCTGGAAATGAGGGGGAAGAGCCAGTCCAGTTGCTTCTGCCAGTTGCCACTTCTTCATACTGGAAGGTGAGGGGTCACTTCAGAGCCATGAGTAGAACAAACCTATCACCCACTAGCAGAAAAGGATCAGCCAGGGGAGAAAAGAACAAAGCACTGAAGTGGTAGGGCTGGAGATAAAGGGAACCGGACAGCAAGGAGCATGTGGGGTGCAAGAGGAGACAAGAACAGTTCTGGGGGGCGTGCCAGGATCAGAGGCACACTACAGAGCAAAAGAAAAACAAAGGAGTAATTGCAAAGACTACTACTCACTTGGTGCATTAAAACAGTTAAGAATACACTAGCATGTGTGTTACTGCTCCACTACACTGCACTGCAGTGACCAGTGGGTGGGTCTGGCAATGGCCAATGAGGGCAGGTGTACACAAGACCACATCTCGGTTAAGAAGCATTTCATACCATTGAATGTTTGAAGGACCCTGGAAGGCTCACTCAGTAATGGGGCTCCACCCCTGGCCTTGGGAACCCAACACACACATAGGTGGTGGAAGGTTGGGGGGTAACGGGGCTTAGCCCCCCCAAACGCAGTGCAGCAGTAGGGCTGCAAGGCAGCCCAACTGCAGGCTTCTGGCTGCTGCAGGAAGGGTGAGGGAGGGAGTGGGGCTGGGACAGGGGCAGGTGCTGCACAACCAGGGCAGAGCAAGGGACGGAGCCACGAGCGGCTCATCCAGACACAGCTCTACATGCACCCCGGGAAGGTATGGGGGGCGTGTGCCCCCCGGATCTGCGCAGGACATGGTGGACTGCAGCTGTGGGCTGGGGCCAGGGCAGCACCAGGCTCTTCCTGGCGGTGGGCTGGGCTGTGCTCAGGGTGGGTGAAGGCGGGTGCAGCCACCCCAAAATTTGCCTTATCCCCCCACCCCCTCCCAGTGCTGCTGCCACCCACCCTGACCACAGCACAGCCAAACCCCATCCCACCAGAAACAGCCCAGTGCAACCCTGGCCCAAGCCTGCAGACGCAGCCTGCCCTGCTCTGCTCCACACACAGATCCAGGGGTACACGACCCCCATGCCCTTCTGGAGTGTGTGCAGTGGTGGGAGTCACCATCCCCTCCCCACGCCAGGCACCCCCCTTACTTTGCATCAGTATTCCTGAGACCAGGTGAAAACTGGTCACCAGACCAGGGGTGCAGATAATGCAGTAAAGACAGCGGTCCACATAAAATTAGTCCAGAACAGGTGAAGATACTCTTACATCATTTGGACGTTTTCAAGTTGGCTGGGCCAGGCAACCTGCATCTAAGAGTACTGAAAGAGTTGGCCAAGCTCATAACAGTGCCTCTGGCGAGGCTGTTCAAGGAGTCATGGAACTCAGGAGTGGTTTCTAACAACTGGGAAAAGATGAACGTGGTACCCATCTTTAAGAAAAGACAGAGGGATGACCCTGCCAAATACAGACTGGTCAGTCTGACTTTGGTCCTGGAGAACATCTTTGGAAAAATTGTCAAGGAGGCCATCAACCACAAACTCGTATCTGGTGGGGTACTGAGAAGCAACCACCATGGCTTTGTAGAGGGGAGGTCATGCCTAACAAACCTGGTGTCCTTTTATGACCAGGTAACTAATCATCTGGACATGGGACAGGAGGTGGACGTCACCTACCTAGACTTCAGCAAGGCCTTTGATACTGTTTCCCATGAAATCCTCTTGGTTAAGCCAAAGAGTACTGGCCTAGACCAGGCTACAGAGAGGTGGGCTGGCAACTGGCTCGGCGGCCGATCCCAGCGAGTGGTAATTGATGGGGTGGCCTCATCCTGGAAGCCTGTCTCCAGTGGTATACCCCAGGGATCAGTGCTTAGGCCTGTGCTCTTTAACATCTTTATTAATGACCTGGATGAGGGAGTGAAAAGTGTATTACATTTGCAGATGACACCAAGTTGTGGGGACAAGTGGGTACATCAGAGGACAGGTCAAGGATTCAGGAACACCTTGACAGGCTGGGTCTATGGGCTGAACAGAACCAGATGAGGTTCAACAGGGACAAATACCAGATCCTTCATCTGAGTAGGAAGAACCCTCACTATATCTATACAATGGGTGGTGGTCAACTGGCTGGCACTGCATCTGAATGGGACCTGGGGGTGTCAATTGGCCAGAGGATGAATATGAGCTGCCAGTGTGATGAAGTCACCAACAAAGCAAATAGAGTTGTGGCGTGCATCAGCAAATGTGTCACCAACAGATCCAGGGAGGTACTCCTCCCCCTCTATTTGGCGTTGGTGAGACCACAGCTGGAGCACTGTGTCCAGTTCTGGGCACCGCACTTTAAGCAGGATAAGGACAAGCTTGAAAGGGTCCAGAGAAGGGCCACGCGCATGATCAAGGGCTTGGGGGAGAGGCCCTACAAGGAGAAACTTTGGGATCTGGGTTTGTTCAGCCTGAGGAAAAGGCTGAGGGGCGACTTGATAGCCACCTACAAATATGTCAAGGGAGAACACCAGGATCTATAGATTCATAGATTGTAGAGTCGGAAGGGACCACAATGGATCATCGTGTCCGACCCCCTGCCCCGGCAGGAAAGAGGACTGACCAGGTGACTATCTAGCCTCCTCTTGAAGACCTCCGAGCTAGGTGATAGCACCACCTCTCTTGGAAGCCCATTGCAGATCCTGGCCACCCTTACTGTGAAAAATTTCTTCCTAATATCTAACCTAAATCCACTCTCAACTAGTTTACACCCATTATTCCCTAGTCAACACCCGTTATTCCTAGTCAAGGAGAGCAACCGCTCAGAAAAGCACTCCCTGGGAGGACGTGGTCCAATGGACACAAACTAGTCGAGGAAAAGTTTTGGTTAGACATAAGGAAAAACTTCTTTTCCATACAGGTAACTAAAATTTGGAACACACTTCCAGCAGAGGTGGTGCAGTCGTCATCCCTGGTAGTTTTTAAGAGATGGTTGGACAAACACCTCATTGAGCTCCTTTGAGCCCAATTACCTCCTGCCCATGGCAAAGGACAGGACTTGATGATCTTACAGGTCCCTTCTGGTCCTTCTTTCTATGATTCTATGCCCCACTCCCTCCCCCCACCCCTTCCCCCAAAGACTTAGCTGCTGGGGTGACATGTGCACGCTCAGCCCCTCCAAATAATTTTTTCTCTCTCCGCCTATGCCAACACATATTCCAGCTAGGGAGGTTCTCTGGCAATCAGCCTCATCTCATTTTCCCTTGCACTCCAGAAATCTCCTGAGCAGAGGTAAGCAACCACTGTCCCTGTAGGCCTGCACAGGGATCAGGGGGCACCCTTGGGCCAAAGTGTATGGATACATTCTTATGCCTGTCTCCTGGAAGAGGGAAGAAGGGATGACACATACAGAAGGGGACAGTTAAGTTTGCACAGGCCACCTGCCATAACTCCTCTTACCTGCCCCAATGTGGAGGACACACCACCTAAACCTGGGATTCCTTTGCCCTCTTAAGCTTCCTGAGCTGTAATCTCAGTTGCCTTGTCTCCTCCTGCAGCTCCAGCCCCTCTGCTGTTCTCTCCTCCAGCTTGTTCTGAGCTGCCTTCAGGTGTTGCAGCCAAAGGAACATGCACAATTCTCACTGACAAGGTAGCCAAGGTCTGAACTAGACTGAAATGTATTGCCCCCAGCTGCTATTTAGACAGAGCTCACAATGATGAGAGTCAGGTTCATTCCTGCCAAAAAATCTTGGGTGGTGGCTATGGTATATATTCTGCCCTGGGAGAACCGTATTTCACAGCAACAGCCACTGCCTCGCAAGGGAGCCCTCTCTGGTATTATGCTGGCAAAAGCTAATTATTTAAAATGTAACTTCATGGGGGCAGGAGCACGGGCCCGTAACTGGTGCTCCTGGTGGGTACCAGAAAATGCATGATGAATAATAACAATATTGTGACATGATGGCTAGGCAGGTAGATCTTTCCTGCTTCTGAGGAAATGGACAATGCCTTGAGGTTTACCTCGCAGTCCCAAATCTCATTCACATTAGGCACTCTAGTGCTTAGTGCCTCCTTTGACATTGGGCAGGCAGGGCTTTAGAAACCTTTCCACTGGGCAGCAACCCCTGGGTTGTTGTGAGCCCCAGGAGCTCCCCTACCTCCTGCAGCTCCTCTGTTCTGGTTCTGTCCCCTTGCTGCTTCAGCTTCTGGTGGTTCAGGGGGGACAAGCTGCCCTCCAAGTGATGCACATGCATCTTCAGCTGCTCCCACTCAGGCACCACTGAGGCGACCTGTTAGGAAAACAGGCTGAGAATAAGACAACCTGGCTCTTGAATCCCACAATGCTACTTTCAAGCCCATGGAAATCAATAGTGCACCTCTACCCTACACACTGAGGGACAGTTCCTGCATGATTCAGAGAGGAATGTGACTTGCCATTCCCTCCATCAGGCTCATCTTTCTTTCCTGTTACTTTCTCTCCTTTGCCTCCTGTCCCCTTTCCAACTGCACCAAGTCCATGTGGGACCCATCTGATGCTGTGCTCCAAGCCCCATCCTCACCTCATCTTGGAAGACTCCCAGCTGGTTGCCGTGTGTGGCACAGTGATGCCATCTTCGTATGCTCAGCTCCTCTCTCTTTGGCAGCTCCCACAGGCATGAGTCAGGCTTATGCTTGAGCAGCATCAGGTCCACCCTATGGCAGGGAGAGACCATCATCTCAAGAGGCACAGTGCAGCAGCCCTCTTAGAACCACCCACTGCATTGTCATTTCTAGGCTGAACTTGCATGAAGACAAGTCCCAGCATGCACTGCTCCTTGGGTCTGTGCAAGGGCTGCTGGCATCAGGAGGGAGTGTTACTTATGGCAGCATCTAATATTTGAACCCCATTGTAGGGCTGCCATCTGCAGATGTCCTGGGGCCCTTAGATATACCTAGTGTATTGCCAAACAAGATGCCCTGTATCATTACCTGGCTTAGCTCACCCTCAGTTCTTTGTCCTGCTCCTGCTTCCACCAACCTCACTGCGTATTTGGCCACTGGTTTCAGTGAGAACAGCATTAGGTCATACCCACAATCTCCTATTCCCTATCTACAGTTGGCCTGCCAAGGCTGCCATATGCACATCTCCCCTTCAGGTACCTGGCTTCATCTGCTTTGCTCTGAGTCTCCTTCACATGGGACTCCAGCTTCTGTGCCTCTTTCTGGCTCTTCTCCAGGGCCCCACGCTGTGACTCTAGCTCTTGTACTGTGTGCTGAAAGTAGAGGGAAGAACAGACATTGGCCAACTAAGTGTCCATCTCCCTTGTCCTGGCAGTCTTGCCCTTTTAACTTGTTGTGCCTACTGCCACCTTCTCCTTGGGATCTGAGTCCAACCAGGATTGCTTTCATCTGGGATCACACACAAGACTATTGCTTGTAAATAAGGGAGCATGACAAGGCAAGATCCTACCCACCGCAGAGCTGTCTTCCCTTACCTCCTTTGCTGACAAATTCTATCACATGGGATACTCTTACTAACAGTCCCAGGTTCAAATCTGAGGGGCCAACTGTGAGAACTTGGCTATAATGGGCCTTCCACTCTGAGCTCACTTCCTCCTTTGGTCTGGCAGGACCTAAACTTGCTCTTTGTTGAAAACCGGTAATTTCTGCAGCCCTAAAGGATGTAGGGAAGCATTAGTGTGTGAACTTCCATGTACACTGCTTGGTCATGGCCCATCAGCCACCCACTGCCACTACCAAGAAAGCATACGGCCCCAGCCCCACCAGAAATACCGAAAAGAGGCCCACCTGCACCAACTGGAGAGAAATCTCCAGAGGCCAGATCAGCCATGCAGGCAAAGGCATTGCTCTATCTGCTGCACAACACCACAGCATGCGAGCAGAGCAGAGTCTGGGGCAGGTCTGCTCTCCTCTGACAAGTGTTGCTGGTTGTGGGTATGCTGTTTGAGAGGAACAGTTTCTGGTGTTTTACACAGCTATGTTGGGAAAAGCTCTACAGAAGATGTTCAGTCTGCATGTACACACTTAAACAACCAAAGCGCAGAAGTAGGGCAAAAAATTCCTGGTATTCCAGCTATATACCTGCCATTTAGGTGCACATAGGGAAGGAGAATTCCAAAGTAACTGCATTTAAATGAGATGTTGAAGGCCTGATACTGGTCTGCTAGAGACATGTCGGACTCATGGCACTGACTGGCTGGGGAGCAGGCAGCAGTGATTGTTTCTGCCCCAAATCCTCTGTGAGACGAGTCTGCCCACAGCAGGCTGTTTGGAAAGTACCTGTTTCTGGAGCAAGATGTCACTCAGGGACAAATTTGCCTCCTTCACTTGGTCCTTCTGTTGCAACAGCCTCTCCTCTTCGGCATCCAGGTCCTATGCAATGAGTCAAACATACATAACACTCTATACCACTGGCTACCCCACAAACCATCTTCAGCTCTTCCCACCACCCCAAGGGAGGGTGCAGCAGAACTCTGCTATTCCAACAGCTTCTTTTATGCAAATAACACAATCATTATTTTTCCTGTGTTCTCTCATGACCTCAAAACCAAGCTCTGCATCTAACATGTTACCTACATTATAATGAAGTCTTTTGGACACATGGATGCATGCTTGGGGAAGGAATTCCACTGAAGGACAGCCATAATTCAAGCATTTCCTGTCTTTTGAGTGCTAACCTTTGCAACCTTACTGTTGCTTTTCCCATGCAGTTTCTTTGCAGGGAATAACATCTTCATCATAATAATCCCTTGCTCTGCTAGTCCCCACCAAGTTTGAATATACTACAAAGAAGTTAAATGACTTGCCCAACCTAATGTGGGGAGAAAATGGTTGGAAAGGCACTAGAAAGTCAGTTACTTTACACCAAGCAAAATGGTTTCCCCACTCAAATGCACTGCTACAGATGTACTAAATGAACTAGATTTTGCCATGCTTCCTCTATGCATCCTGTAAGGGCACTGCCCTTCCTAATATTCCTGGAGTAGAGCTTCACTGCAGGTGCTCCAAGGGGGGGGCGGGGGGCATGTTTACACATGCAATTAATGCAAAGCAATAAACTCCAGAGTTTATTGCTCCAGTGCATTGCTCCTGGGATCACCGTTTGAACATGCACCCAGGACCACAGTACATTGAGCCGAGTCGAAGCAGCCCCATCTGGTAGGGGGTCCCAGGAGTCAGCCTGCCAGCCTAGGGCTGCTCCCCCCTGGCACAATGTGCTGTAGAGGGGCTAGCTGGGACACAAGGCTGCTCCAGTGTGGGACTAGCCAGCAGGCAGCCCCCCACACTGGAGCACCCTTGTGCCCCAACCAGCCATGTCAGCGTCTACATGTGCACTGCTGCAGAATGAAAATCCCCGCAGCAGGATAGTACTTATATTTGCAAGTACTATCCTGCTGCACAGTTAATTAGTTTACTCCAGCTCCAGCTCAATTGCCCTGCATGTGTAGACACTGAGATGTTTCCTGCGGAGCTAACTCATCAAATCCACAGTAAACGTCTCATGTAGACGCAGCTGGACTGTATGCAAGACGTGCCTACAAATAATTAGTGTTAGTTTCAGGAAGTTGTGTTCCCTTCCTTCTGGGCCGAACCCCAACTTCAACTTCCTTCTGGACCCATCCCTTTTGTAGGTGCTATTTGGTTTTCATCCCTACTTATTGAGTCAGGAGCCATCATACCTGCCGCAGTTTGGTAATGGATTCCTCCAGGATCACCTTGTTGGCAGTGAGTACCTCCATTGTGGAGGCTGCTCTGGCCCATGCAGAGCCTGGGTGGAGCTGCAGCAAATAAACAAGCAGGATCCAACTGTCAGCTCAGAATGAAGTACTGGTCAGAACCTGCCAGGAAGGGCCAATGACACCCAAATTGCAGCCACGTTCACAAGTACAAGAAGTCCCATAACCCCTTCTGTGCTCAAAATCACATGCAGCAGACACCCTGTGCCTTCCCCCATCCTGCCAGCAAGAACAGACTTTAACCACAGGTATGCAGTCCTGGCTGACTTGTTTGTGAAGTTCCCCTCTCCCTTCTTTATGGCATGTACCTTCTGCCACTAAAGCCAAAAACAGCTTTTCCACCGAGCTCAAGAACAGCAGGATCTGTGTCATTGTAAGAACCACTCTGCTTTGATTTCTGGTGCATCAGGAGAGTGGAGAGCTGTTACTCTCAGTCAGCTGTTACTGTCAGAGTGTTAGACAGCTATACCCTCTACAGGAGAGATCGAGTGGACAAAAGCGGTGGGGGGGTAGCTCTCTATGTCAAGGAAAGCTACGCGTCCCTGCAAACTGACATTGGCACCCAGGGGGGACAATTGGAGACCCTCTGGGTTAAAATCCATGGGGAACACGGCACAGGGGACACAATGGTGGGAGTCTACTACAGACCTCCCACCCAGGATCAAGAGCTTGACCAGGAGTTCACCAGGGAATTGGCTGAGGCTGCACGCTCCCAGTGCATGGTTGTCATGGGAGACTTCAACTACCCTGACATCTCGTGGAAAGAGCACTCAGCCAAATCTGAGTGGTCGCAAAGTTTTCTCTCATGTGTGGATGAGCTGTATCTGACACAAGAAGTCTATGGGCCGATGAGAGGTAAAGCGTTGCTCGACCTGGTACTGGCAACAGGGGATGACCTAATCAGTGACCTAATGATCAAAGGGAAGCTGGGTGACAGCGACCATGAGCTGATCCCCTTCCCCATCCGCCGTAAAGCTGGCAAGTCAGTCAGCAATACAGAAGTCCTCGACTTCAGGAAAGCTGACTTTGACAAGCTTAGGAGGCTAGTTGGCAAGGCCCTAAGGGACCATGACCCGAAGGGGAGGGGAGTTCAGGAAGAGTGGTTGCTCCTCAAGGGAGCGATTCTGGATGCACAAGCAAAGTCTATTCCATCTCGAAGTAAAGGCAGCTAAAGGGCACAGCAGCCCCCTTGGCTCTACAGGGATCTAGCAGACCTCGTGTCTAAAAAGAAAGACCTACAAAGGATGGAGGACTGGACCCACCTCCAAGGAGGAATACTCTGCACTGGTCCAGACCTGCAGGGAGCAAACCAGGAAAGCCAAGGCTGTGACTGAACTCCAGCTAGCTAAAGGTATCAAGGACAATAAAAAGTCCTTTTTTAGATATGTGGGAAGCCAGAGGAAAAGCAAGGGCAACACTGAACCTCTGATAAACCAGATGGAAAAACTGACAACCGATGCCCAGGAAAAAGCCAACTTACTAAATGAGTACTTTGCATCAGTTTTTCACCAGTCCCAAAAGACATCCCTCCCCATTACGGGATGGGAATGCCTGGGTAAGGGTGATTCCTTGCCCTCCATCAGTGCTGACCTTGTGAAGGAACACCTTGAGAGGCTGGACACCTTCAAGTCAGCTGGCCCTGACAGTTTACACCCCAGGGTATTCAAGGAGCTGGCTAACATCATAGCTCAGCTCCTGGCACAGATCTTCAAGAGCTCCTGGCGCTCTGGTGAAGTGCCTGAAGATTGGAAGAAGCCCAATGTGGTGCCTATCTTTAAGAAAGGGAGGAAAGTGGATCTGGCAAACTACAAGTCCATCAGCCTGACCTCTATCCCAGAGAGTCTTAGAAAAGATTATCAAAGAGGCCATTCTTAACAGACTGGCCAATGACAACATCCTGAGGGACAGCCAGCACAGGT